TATCATTTGCAATAAAGTTATTTTTGTCTTAGTCATATTTGTTAGGGGCGTCACCTCATTATACAAACCCACAAAGATCATACTGGGATGTGACCAGGAAAGACCGCAGACATATTGGACAAATGTTGATTCCTATGTTGAAGCACCTAATGAAAGTCATGGAAGGAAATAAAAAGTCTACATCATTGACAGAGGGACAGCCACCTGTATCAGGTATGCCAAGTACTATTTCCAAATCATCATAACACATCAGCTGCTGCAGCAATGTAGACCAAATAGACCAAATTTGATGTTCTCTATAATCAAGGCAGTTCACCAGGCACACATATTAGTGAAAACACATTTGTTTAAGTTATGTGTTGAATACATTCCTCAAATATATTATTGCATAGAAGCACACAAGTACATGAATCTGTCTTGATATCAAATCTCTTGAACAGCAATATTCAGGAACATAATGGCTCTGAGCTATTCAGAGCTTTATTGTTTTGCTCTTTCATTGTACCCTCACATGCTGGGCAGGTCCTGGAACAGATTGTGTTTCTGAGTTGCAGTGTAGCCTGCAAGGAGATCAAAGCTATTGTGTTGTCTGACTGAGATGCTTCGATTCCAAGACTGGATTAACAGTGTTGCAAATCATTTGTTGGGTAAATCCGTTCACATATAAGTAATTAATTTTTCATGAATAGGTATAAAACAAAGTGGCTCTCTAATCAAGTGTACCTATAACAGCATTGTAGACAGAGAGATGACAGCATCACATTGACCCAAATGATATTACCACTTTGCTTCAATCTAAAAAAGTTACAATTGAATTAATCTTCCACCCATTCTTCTACTAAAATATTTTATGACATTTCACTTTCAAATTACTGTTCCAACTCTCAGCTCAATTGGCTGACAGCAACTTGCTAACTTTACAAAGTGAATTGTGGGAATAATTCTGAACTTTTGTTTATGGGATAGGATTTTTTTTCTGATGCCATATGAACAGTAGGTTACGTGGTGTATTACCCTATATTTTCTTAGAATTCTATTAATACAATTTTAACACTGCAAAAGGGTTATAGAACTAAAAAAACTTGTGTACCATAATATTCCAGGGTATTCTTCAAGGAGCACTCTAAAAGCATCAGCTGCCAATTCAGACAATCTTCAGGTGTTATCCAGTGCTGCCAAAAAGCCCAAACATACAACAAAGTTTCCTATGTTTTTGACAGCACAGACACTCATAGACATCAAGGCTATTTGTTAAGGTAAGTGAATAATTTGTAAGGACATTCATATTTTCCACCATTTCTTATTAGGAAAAAAATACTATTTCCTATTATATAAATATTTCCTATTAAAAAAAACTGTAATGTGCCTCAGTTCTATAGTGTGATCATTAAAGTGGTTGTTGTAAAGCCTAAACATTTTTTATCTTAATGCATTCCTTGCTGAAGTTTCAGCCCTCACCTCTCCCCTATACTTGCTTAATCCCTCACTTAATACAGCGATGTGTGCATCTGCAGTGGCTCTCTCCTCTTCTCCCCACTCTCACAGGCTTGGCTGAGAGCAGTGGAAGCCATTGGTTTCTGTTGCTGTAAGTCATATCATGTGATGAGGGAGCTGGGGGCAGTCAATGGACACATACAGCAGAGGCTTGGGATCGAGCACACAGGTGTGCTACAATAGGAAGGGGCTTCCTATGGTGGCACACAATGAAGAGAAGCCAAGAGTGGGACCCAAGAAGAAGAGGTTCGGGGCTACTCTGTGCAATTCCATTGCACATACCAGATAAGTATAAACCTGTTTGCTTTTTAAATATACAGTTTAAGAATTTAGAATCACTTTGGGTTATCATACACAGAAAGGTTTCAGCTGGGTTCTAAAAAAACTTTGTACATCCAGTTTAATATTCTGGGCATAATTACACAGAAGTAGTGTAGCTTTTTTCCTTAACTGTTAACATTCCTTCAACAGTACTTTTGATTCCTAGATTTCAGCAAACAGATAATTATATCTGGAGCTTTATTTATACTTCCATGAGGTTTCTTTTTTTTTGTACATTTGGATGTAACATTTTATAATAACCTGGTTTTGACACACTCTGTCTTTATTAATATCTTTATTTAAATGTGATCTGCAAAAAAAGTACAATGGGCATCAATGCTCAAAGTGTCAGGAGGTAAATGTGCTCTCATTGGCCATAGTATTCAGGTATCTCCCTCATTCCTTCAGTGCAAACGTGAAATGGAGGATATAATGTGTCATCTAACAAAAGAATACATTTCTCCTGACATCTAAATTGGAGAATTACAGTTGACATGTAAGCTAAACAATGTTTAAATACAAGAGACGGGTTGGGTTTAAAAAACAATTTTATTTCGATTTTGGAGTTTTTCTGCTAAAATGCTTCTCTCTTGAATGCAAGTGATGCTTTTTTAATGCCTCTAAACATCTCTGCCTCTAAACTCCTACAGTATCGGTGCACACCTAGGCTAACATGGAGGAGCGTTTAGAGACAAAAAAAATTTAACAGGTACAACAGGTGTTTTTTGAGCTCAAGTGTGCACGAAGGCCTCATTCTGCATCTTCCACTATCTACTACTGATGTTTCTAATGTTATATGTGTTGAAGCTCATTGTTTTATTTGTTTAGGTTTCTCATTGAGAAGCAAGCAAGTGAACTGGTCCATCTGGAGTGCATGTTGTTGAGTGAAGAGATGAGCAGAATCTGGAATTTTTATGAATTTTACAAAGTAAAAACAAACTCTTGGACCTTAGCTCCTCAAGATATAGATAACCAGGTTATCATTCAGCAATACTTTATACAACTTATAACACAAAAAAATGTATCTTGAACACCTAAGAGATGATTTACACTGGCATAGAAACCTACAGAGACAGTACACTGTATGTGCCATCTTTTAGCAGACGTTGCAGTAATTTTTAAATAACAATCATATCAATCAAACCTGTATTAAACCCAAATCCAAAAATGTAAAATGTTGAAACTTACCAATCATTAGATGTGTTGGGTGCATTAGTTTTCTTTTTTATTTTTTTCCCCCTGATTTTAGTTTTTTTCCCTCTGATCACCTGGTGATCTGAATAGTAACACAGCTCAAATATGAAAGTGCCCCCACAGGGGCAGAGCAGACAACAGCATTGTTAATTTGCAGGGAGGGGAGTGGTAGATGGACTAACAAATGTAAATACTCTAACAAACTGAAGTCAGACTCCAGCTCACACAAGCAGTTACAGCAACAGTTTTTTTTCTCTTTTGGGATAAAGGTTTTACATGATTAAATAAAGGTTGATCATTGTAAGGTAAGCACTCATGTCAGTGGTAAATGGTTTTTCTGAAAACTCTTAACTGATACATTTGCAGGAGAGCTTGCTTTGTTGAAAAACAACAAACTTACTGGCAAGATCACCAGGTGAAAATAAGGGAAACATCTAAGAATTGGTAAGCTGCAATTTAGTAAATGTTTGCTTTAGAGTTTATTACCAATTTAAGTATCTGTTCACACTACTGCGACCAGAAAGGTGTGCAACTTACAGTGTGACTTTGCCAGACGACTTCCTGGCTATGTGAGTACTTCTTTGATGCGACTTGATGCGACTTTGAAGCAACTTTCAGGAAATGCCTGGGTACTCTTCCTGTAATGCCGGTTCCAAATCACATCAATATAGACAAGCATCCAACTTGAGAGGCGATTTCCATTAAAGTCTATGGGCACAAGTCTGATAGAAGTCGCCTTTTTTAAAGTCAGAGTGACTTCAGTAGTGCTAATTAAGACAGCTCTCATTGACTAACATGGGATTTCACATATCATGCAACTTGGGGTCTCACAAGATGGATCCCAAGTGGCGGCAGTGTAGACCGAGCCTAAGGATGACAGAAATGCAGCTCTATGTTTAGATATTTATGTTGTACTAGACACAACCTAAAAATCACAAAACTACCAGCCTAAATGTTCTTTGTAAAGATATCTTACCTTTTAGATGTTTCCCAGAAGGGGTGTCAAGACTGACTGTAAAATTTTTTGAACATTGTTAGAGTGAGTCTGTCCCAAGTCTGTCCCATTAACATACAATGCAAGAAGCCCAGCCTCTATACCTTTAACACTTTGTTAGGAAGATCAGTCTTCAAATCTAGTTACAACTGATAATGAAAATCTGCTTGCACAGTACAGACAATATTAAAGCCCAATTCTGATCCCTTGCAGTACGGTTGTGCCTGTGGTGCAAGGCTTAGTTACTTGTTTTAATCTAGGAATCTAGGGGAATAAAAAAAGAAGATTTACTTACCCAATTCTCTGCTCCACACCACAGCTAGATCATTGCCCGCAGCTTTTTATCCTCAATGCTCCAGTAGTCTAGGGTCCTGACATCATCAAAGCCAAAGTAGAGTTCATAACCCTGCACTGGACAGTATGTCACCCATTTCAGTCCACTGCCGGAGCAAGGGGGAGCACCTTTTTCAGGTAGAACAGAGAATGAGGTAAGTAAGTTTCTCTTCTACCCTAGAGAAAACAAGCTATTACCCCCTGCAGTGCAAGCACAGCCCCACTACAAGGTATAATTTGTTGAGTTGCCTGGTGGCTTTAAGTATGTCAAACACAGTTGCCCAGCCCCCTCATGAACAAACAGAACTACCTAGGATTTTAATTGGTTGAGGGTCCAGAGCATTTAAACAGAGGTAAGTTGCAATTTCTTAAATTTTTTTATTAATAATGCTATTTAAATGGGGACATGTAACAAATTTAAAGTTGTATTATCCCAATTTGACTGCAAAAGTTGAAATACACTCCTGATAGTTCCAGATAACCTATATGTTTCTTGAAACCTCATTAGTGTGAAATTTACACAGTCCTCTACTATATGGCATCACTTCCATAGAATAGTCTGCATAAAACTTTATAGCAGATGTAAATTATCACCAAAGTTAGTGAGTTTGTTGTGATTTTTCTTTTACAAGAAACATTACTTTATCTTTTTTTTTTTTAATTAAGCACCTGAAAAATGACACAGAAATGAATATGAATGTAGAGTGGAAAAAACTGATTGAGGAGTTAATGGAGACACATAGAACAGCTCTCAAAGCTCTATATGAGAAGCATCAAGAGGAAGTAAAAAGTATGGGACTTAATCCAAACACAGTGATACCCGAGACCTACTTTAACAGAGATGTTAAGGCTGCTATTTCACAGCTGGCTATGGAAATACTCACAGGCAGCGTATCAACAGCTTCTTTCTGACAAATCCCAGGTACTGATTATTCAGCAGAAGTAAAGGAGTTGGATAATAAAATAATAAGAAAAAAAATGGAGCTTGATATTAATAAATAGACTATTTTATTTAATTATGTTTTGGATTAATGGAAATGTATTTATAGTGATTGTAACCTTAATTTTTTGTTTTTTTTTTTTTTTTTTTAAATAACAATACTCACCTGATCTGTGCAATGCTTTTGCACAGAGCAGCCTCGAATCTCCTCTTCTGGGGTCCTCCACTGACACTTCTCCAAGTGCCCCCATAGCAAGCCCCTTGTTTGGGGGTACTCATGCAAGCTCTCTCCCAAGCCCTCTCTTAGGGAACATGCAGAGCTCTGTTCATCCCACCCTCACCTATCTTCACTGCTGTGATTGACTACAGCAGGAGCTATTGATTCCGACTGCTGTTTATAGGCCAATGAGGAGAGAAAGAGCCAAGAGAGTTGCTGCTCTCCTGCACATCGCTGGATTGAGATCAAGCTCAGGTAAGCTAGGGGGACAGCAGATCACAGAAGGTTTCTGATGATCAATGAATAAAACATTCTAGCTTTACAGTTACCTTAATTATTTTGGGATGTGGTGACAGTCCAAAGTAGGTAAAGAAATTAAGCCAATGTGAATTCTTTAAAAAAAAATTGGGGGCCATTAACAAAATTGCCTGTACTATTTTAAAGGCAGAGAAAACTGGTGTGAGTAGTGTGTGTCACATTTACACAGCAGAACGACCTGTGTTAGGGTAAAACAGAAACTGGCATGGGATCCGCACTTGATTAAAAACTGGATAGTGGTAATTCTCTGTATAGAAAACTGCCACAGATCCCTACCAGATTGGACTTGGCCTGCGAGATGTGAACTGTCTCCCAGTAACCTTGCAGACAACCCACATGCCTCTCTGCCCGTGTTCTGAATACACTACATGGGCAGAGCCTGCACCCATATATGCCCAAATGTTAACCATGGCATACACAGGATTAATGGCCTTCCTCCTCCCTTCCATTCTCAGCTGAGCAAGGGGGAGTGGGCACAGGCAGCTCTTCTGCTCTCTAAGCCATGTATGGCAAAGACACGGAATAGAAAACAGAGGAGATTGCTCCTAATTAACAAATGGACTTGCAGTCTTTGTTAATTAGGAGCAGGATCTGCTCTATTTTCTCAGTTTAGGAAAAATGGCACAGACTTTATGCATACTCAATTTATTTTTAATTTCCCTATTGTTCTTTAAATTAAAACCTGTGTTTTTAGAAGTTTTTACATATTAAAGCATTAGTAAACCTGCCAAAAAAAAAATCTGGGCCCTTTCCAGTTTATACCATAATGTGCTAGTATGAATCACATACTAGCACATTATATGTTATCTTTGCCAGGGCTTCCATCTTCACCTTGCCTTCCATTCAGAACAGTTTGAAAGGGTGGGCCACAATGATGTCACTCCCTCGCATGCTAGCGAGAGCTACAGTCACAGCTTGGTGCTCTGCATTCCATGGCATACTGTGTGGTCCTGAATGCAGAGCACCACTACACATGCCATGCCAATGCAAATATCTCCTAAACAGTGCATGTTTCAGAGATATTCATTGTATCTACAGGCAAGCTTGATTTTAAACTTACCTGTAGGTACCAGTCCACCCAGAGAGTTAACTAACACTTTAATTTACAAAGTAATACATTTTTTTGATAATATTTTAAGTAGCAAAATAGATTTTGGTGGCAGAAGCTCATTTTAACCTTTTGTGTTTTCCAGGAAATGTCTGCAACAGAAAGCAAATTATTTACAGATAATAAAGATTCCCAAAATTTACTTTTACAGACCATATCTGCAAAGTTTGTAAGACAAGAGTTGCTTATCCAAATTCACATGTATAATATGCTCGACAACTATGCTGGGATCCAGGTGAATATGTTTAACAAACTTAACTGTTTAACTCTGAATTCACAAATATTTGTGAGAGATTATTTTTCATGTTTTTATATGTCAAAAATGTAGGAAAATCCAATTTTGCACCTCTATTGTCTTCTATCCTAAAATAATAACACTTTTTATATAGTCAGGCAACCCAAAGTGGTATGTTAGTTTATAGGTGGAGCCTAGTAATCTTTATAATAGCAAAAGAATGTGTTCTGATCTAGGATCTCTAATTCAGATCTCACTATAGTGTCCCCAAGCAATAAAATAAATGTCAATGTATTATTTATATATATTTAGGGGAAGTAAATTATTAGAAAGAAATTCCAACCTAGCCTACAGAATTTTCCTCCAGGAGAAGATCTTTCAAGGTTACAATGTCTACATGTTTTGGCCTGTTAATAAAGGACATACACAGTCCTGAGCTTGTGTTTGCACTGCTCCTATAAACTGCATCCCTACAAGCGATACCTGGCATATAATAAAGAATTCTACTGATCACACTGAAAGGCAGGTAGGAATGGGGTATCATATGACACAGCTTTCCCAGCCACGTGCTGCACTATCTATAGTCATTGGCAAAACTGTGAGGAATGAATGAATGCAACTTGATCTATCTATAAAATTTAGTACACTAGTATAACTACTGGCCTACTGATAGGTGGCACTGATAGGCAGCACTGATGGGCACTGTTGGTGGCACTGATAGCTGGCACTGATAGCACTGATAGGTGGCACTGATGGGTACTGATAGACTGCACTGATGAGGAGGCACTGATAGGTGGAACTGATTGGCACGGATAGGTGGCCTTGAAGGGTACTGATAGATTGCAATGATGGGGAAGCACTCATAGGCTGCACTGATTGGCACTGATAGGCAGCAGTGATGGGCACTGATAGGTGGCAGCGATGGGCACAGATAGGCAGCACTGACTGGCATGATAGGTGGCACTGATGGGTACTGATAGACTGCACTGATGAGGAGGCAATGATGGGCATTGACAGGCATCACTAATAGGTACTGAACATCATCTCTGATGGGCACTGATCAGTGGCATTGATGGGCACTGATAGGGCTTCACTAATAATCAGGGCACTGATGATCAGTGCTCTGCTGATCAATGTAGATGTCCTCTCTGAGGAATGCCGCTTACTGGCTCTCCTCTCCTCATGCGCTGTCAGTGTGAGGAGAACACTGTTGATAACCAGCATTTGCTGTTTACATGTGATCAGCTGTGATTGGACACAGCTGATTACATATTAGAGGCTACGTCAGTGGCTCTTTACCACGATTGCTGATCTGCTGTGTCTGAAGGGGGCACATGTGCGCAGCTAGAATGTGAGGACGTCATATGACATCCTCCCAGAACAAGAGCTCTGTTCATCATTTCTCTATATGCCACGTGGGAGGGGGTTAAAAAAAATGTGTAAAGGAATTTTGTTACTAACAAATACAAATGCTGAAAATGTAAATGTTTTGCCATTTAGTGAAATTGCTGGCTGCAGATGTAAACTGCAAATTTTGATTTGATGAAATGACAAAATTGTTTGTGTCATAATGATATACACTAACTAAATAAATATTTTCCTTACTGTATATTTTTAGTAGGGTTGGGGTGGAGGTAGGTTGTTCAAAACTGTACATTTTAGACATAGCTTTCATTTTTACAAAGAACATGCATTAAATATTGCATACATTTATTGAAGGGCACTATTATTGTAAACGTTAGGGTGGTAATATTACTATAAAAATAAATATGTATTTATGAAACTTTGTGCATGTTGAAAGACCTATTTTTAACTTACATTTATAAATTCAAATGGATAACATACTGAGACAGTGCTGAAAAATAGAAATTGGCCTGGTCATTAAAATGGTAAATTTGGTAAATTGGTATGCAATAAACTCTTTTATTGTTATAAGTTAATTAACATTTTGTGGAAAGAGCTGTAATTCTTTACCAACTTTATTGTTTTTTTTAACCACATCCGTATATCTAGAAAAATGGTGGTGACATTATAATATACTTACTTATTCTATTTACCTTTTCTTTAAGCAGATCAGGAACTGTGCTGAAGAAGTACAGAAGATCATGTCCAAATTACCCTGCATGTCTTATTCTGCAAAAACAGCTGCAGAAGAAGCTGCAGACATAATGGAAAAGGAGTATGTAGAAAAGCTGATAAATTTCTTGAAGAAATCATACAATGAAAAACAGAATCAGCTACCTCTGGCTGAAATGAAGTCTCAGCTAAAAGAAGAGCATTGTGCATTAACAGAAAAATTGGTAAGCATTGCCACCATTTCTACATTACAGTTACCTTCCTGATGTTTTCTTACATTCTTATACTTATTATTGACAGTATTACTATGTTGTCATTCATGAGTTAAATTTTAGCAGCAAATACTTCAGATGAGCAAACTTCTTAACACCCTCTCCCTGTATCCATTTAATCTTCCCATTTGGATTGTTTTCCACAAATGGTTTTTTAATGTGTTACAAAGTTTATAAATGTTGAACACCAAAAAAAAATCTGTTTTGGAGATCCACACATGTTCCATCTTTTTATGGCCTAAACATACATCAAAGTATGAATCAAAATTAAAATTATACAGAAAAAAACACTACAGAAGAAATGTTGACAATAAAAATATGGATAATTAAATATTTTAAGGTGATTAGTGTGTAAGTGTTTACATTTTTGAGTGCTAGGTGAGGGTTTTCTAATTAATGCTTAGTAAAGTTTCCCTTTTGGGGATGTATTAAGTTCCCTCCTGAGCATCTTGACAATAAAAGGTCTGACCTGTACATGATGCTGAATACAACTGAAAAAGCATCCTTAGTGCAGTTAAACACTCTGCCCATTGTAATTTTCTTTCATAATGTGAGTGGATAGGTAGAGCAGTGTCTCTTTTGTCTTCATTGTGACAGCTTAGCAGGAAAACCTCTGGACAACATGGTGTGTGTTTTATGTTAGTGCAAATGCTGTCATGTGTGCATAAGGCTCCTCTAATGAAGTCACCTCCCAGGGACATAATGCATTAGGACGTAGCCTACTGACTGAAGTCATCACGCCAGGCCCACAAAGAAGTAGGTTACTCAGAAAAAAAAAAAAAAACAATTAAAACAAAAGAAAAACTCTGGTGATGTATGGCTTGCATAGATAAGATGGAGAAGTACAAGAGTGTGAGAAAAATGCCCATAAAAGAAACATACTGGAGTCTCCCACATGGGTCATAGTATGTAACTGAAACAAGAAAATAAACATAACTGTCAGGAATAGACTGGCCAGCAATGGTGGGACTCACCTGCCTTATGGGCTGCAGTACCAGGGCTGGCCAGCGGGTGCTCCCAGCAATCAGAGACTCAACCTTGCAGCCAACCAAACACCTGAAACTGCTTATACTGGTGTATTTAAGGGATGGCCAGACCTGCAGACTCTGCCTTGGTGTGTGTTTTTTTCCTGGGCCCTGTATCCTGCATCCTGTTCCTGTTCCTGTCTTGTTGCTGACCCTGCCTGATCTGGACCTCTGCTGACTTCTCCTGCTCTGACCCCGGCTCGTTCCTGACCATCCCTCTGCCTGACCCTCTGTACCACGCTGCCCGCTACCTGCTGAACCTGGCTTGTGACCCCGACCATTCTCCGCTTGCTCCCCCTGTACCTACCTGCCCGATTGATATTGACCTGGCCTGCCTGACGACGCTTGCATTGTATGTACTGTTATCTGTGGGTGGTTGGTTTGGTATGTTTGCACTGTGTTATGTTTTAGTATTGCACTGCGTTTATGTTTGTATTGTTAGTGTTAATAAATTATATTGTTTATAACATATCTGAAGTCTGCGTTTCCCTGCGTCAGTCACATACCTCTGGTCATACCCGGGAGCCCTGACAATAACTAATCATATAACACAACAGGGAATCAACAGGCATCAGTAAGTAAAAGGCAAAGTAGCTGTGGAACCCTCTCCTTGCCAATGTGTTGATACCCTAGTAATTGAGGGCAGCTTCTGTTACTGTAGGTGTCCTGATAAAAGAGGTAAGTTCAAGTTCACTAGCTGCTTCCAAACGTGGATGGAAGAAGAGCAGGCTTTTTTCAGTGTAATGCAATGGCTTTTGTGGCAAAAAATAACAACAAGCCAAAAAATGCCTGTTCCGCATTTGTGGGAACCAGGTCTTCAACGAGGCTGTGTTGGCATATTCTAGGTGAGGGAGTGAAGGAGGTCTGAGCAACAACATTAATATTGCCCACAATATTATTATAATAGTGGGAGACAGCAGGGCATGTCCAGAAGACATGACAAAAAATCTCCTTCTGGATGGTTACAGTGCCAGCAGGAGAAAGACATTGCTGGATCGAGTTTGTGAAGCCCTTGTGGTATAAAGAAGGCACTGTGCAAAATGTTAAATTGTATTAGATCATATCTTATGGACACAAGCTGTCTAAAGGGCCTGCCACAAATCTCCTCCCAATCCTCATTATCCAAGATGTGAATGTCCACCAGTCATTTGTGTCACAAATTAGAAAGCTTGGGAGTGGGGATTTCCAAGAAACGTTGAAATAAAGCAAAGGTCAGTTTCAGGAGGCAGTCCTCACAAAGCAGAAATTCTAGAGTAGAATGGGCCAAGTTATATGAGCCTGAGGAACTTGACATATGAAAGCATGTGAAATCTGCAGGTATCTAAAATGATAATGAGGGGGAATGTTGTGTTTTTGTGTATAGGCTATCAAAGAAGAGGAGGCTACCTTCCTCTACAATATGAGTGATGGATTTGATTTCCATTTTCACCTTGCATTGTGGGTCAAGGAGCAAATAGACGTAGGGCAGGGGTGGGGTGTTGCACAGGGGTGCAGACTCAAACCTAAGTCCCATGTTCCAAGCCTTATGTGTGGT